TATATATAAAAAAAATATATAATATAAATTTGTAACTATATATAATAAACAAATTGATTTAAATATTATTTAATTTGATAAGGACTCAAAAAATTAATTCTCATTTAAAAAAATCTTAGGTATCATTTTTTCTTCCTAACCATCTAAAAAGATTAGCCTCTTTATAAGATTTAATTACTTATTATAAGATTTAATTACAGCAAAAATTTAGTTTATATTTTTATTAGATTATCCATCAATAAAAAAAGTAATTTAATTGTATCTCAAAATGCAAGTTTGACATATTTCTTTCTATCATCAATAACAGCCAAAATATTCAAAGTAACTCAATTAGATACCTCATTCTATATGTAATAATTAGAATATAATTATGCAAATAAAATTATTATCAAAAAATAAATGTATAATATATTCATTTATGTTAAGTAAAATATGTAAAGTATTCAATGTAATATGAAATATATATTTATTTACATATTTACGTATTTATAAAATACGTAATAAAAATATAAAATATTACAATATTTTAACATAAAAATTTACAATACTTATTAAATATGAGTTAATATTAAATTAAATTTATGACTTTATAAGTATATCATTTCGTTCTTGTTATTTCTTTATTATAACATAAAAAATGTATTTGTTTTTTATGATTTGCATATGCAAGTCTCGAAATTTGATTATATTATCAAATTTTACTTATTATTCATAGCATCAAATCATAGAATCAAAATAATACACATGCTATCTTTTTGATTAGGAATAAATATATTGACGTACTTACCATAACCCACGTTTTGTCACCATTATCAAGAAATCCATGAACGATAAGATAAAGATTATTCTGTTTTTTAAAAACTGAATTATGAATAGTTTCGTTTTTATCTATCTTCAATTCCTGCGGTTGTTCTATGATTTCACGAATATAAAGTAAGTAACGGGGATTTATAGAGTCCGGACGATCTGGAAATGTTGATACTGGTCTATGTTCTCCGGACCATGGTGAACCAATATAAAAGCAACCATATGGTTCGTAACATCGCCACATGTACCATTCTATAAAAGAAAAAATGAAAATCATATCTTATTTAAATTGAAAATTATAAAATATGTAAAGTTATTTTGTTTTATATAATATAATAATTATTAATATTATATTAAATGTGCAAATAAGTTTCCTTCCCTTTTTTTCTACGATTATAACTTTTGATTGAATTTGAATTATTTCCCGTTTATGGTTATATCTGAAACAGCGTTTTTTTGTTTTTAAAAAGAATACTTGTGATGAGCTTTATGATCTAAAAGTTTCCAGCTCTATATAATATTTCAAACAATATAATGTGCGAGAAATATTATTTGCGTCACTGCTTACTTTTTGCATTTCAGGAAATCAGCTACAGTTGAAGCTACAGAAATGGTTTGTGCGGCACTGGGAGAGAATGTTTTATCTTACAGAACATGCAAAAAGTAATACCAAAAATTTAAAAGTCGGAAATTTTAATTTGGAAGATGAATCGTTCAAGTGCTCTGAGAAAATTTGATGACAGTCAGTTAGAGGAATTGTTTAACAAAAACTCAGACGTAAGAAGAATTGGCAGAAAGATTAGGAATCAGATAAACAGTATCTATCTGACTGAAATAATTGAATAGAAGATTTAAGTTAGGATCCCACATGGATTAAGTAAAATAAATAAAAAAAAAGATTCGAGATTTCTGCTATCTTGCTTTCACGGCATAAAAGGAAAAGTTTTCTGTACAAAATTGTTACTGGCGATGAAAAATGAGTCTTTTATGACAATCTCAAATGATGGAAATCATGGGTTAATTCAGGTGAATTATCGATTTCAGTGACAAGACTGAATTTGCATTATAAAAAAATTTTGCTGTCTATATAGTAAGATTTTCAACGAATCATCCATTATGAATTGCTTCCATCTGAAAGAACAATAATTGTTGAATTTTATTAAAATCAATTAATGAATTTATACGATCAGTTAGAACAGAAACTTTACTAGACAAGAACAAGACACGTGATTTTGCAGCACAATGTTCGGTCATATGTTGCAAAAGAAATGCAGAGCATTTTGTATTGGACAATTAATGTATTGGAATGGAAAGTCCTGTCATATACAGCATGCTCTCCAGATCTAGCTCCCTCAGACTATTATCTTTTTGGAAATCTGCAACATCAATTGTCAGAGAAGTACTTTAACTCGGAAAAAGATATCTGAAAATGTATTGATGATTTCATAACAAGCAAACAGCCATCATTTTTTCGAGGATGGAATTTATAATTTACCCACCAGATGGGAAAATGAAACTCTCCATCAAGAATTATATGGTATGGATTTTATGAATCGTATTGTATTTTGTTAATGGACTCTACATGAAATATAAATAAATGAAATAATTTTTTCTTCAATATTGTTCACCGATGAAGCTCGTTTTACCAATCATGGAAATCTCAATTTGCTTAATATGCATTATCAGAGTGTCGATAATCCACACTGATTAATATAAGTTATAATATTTATAAGAATATTAAATATAATATAATAGTTATAAAAATATTAAATATAATATAATAGTTATAAAAATATTAAATATAATATAATAGTTATAAGAAAATTAAAAAATTAATTATAAGAGTATCAATGACAATGATAAGTTATAGTGTGGAAGCTTCAATAATTGATGTTTACTGAAGTCTTTTCAACATTAGCTATTACATTGCGATAAAAAAAAGCATTCCATTAAAAAAAATAGAGATGACTTTAAAATCTCTTCTATGCCTTTACCCATACCAAAAATATTTGTATTATAATACAAGCCTCTATAGTGTAAGTTTTGTATACAACATTTTCTTATGTTACTATAAATAACGGCAATATTCAAGATGAACATAGCTCCATCTTGTATATATAAAAGAAATTAGAGAAAATTAATACATACAGAATATACATAGAGAATTAATATATAGAGAAATTTTTACATTTAATACATTTTTATATTTCCTATGTTAAAAAATAAAAGAAAAATGTACGCTTCAATATAGAATACTTTATATCACATTAGACTGTTTTAAGCAAATTTATTAATCTATTTTATTTAAAACTATTTTATTTATTACTATTTAAAAAAGTACATTTTCGTGCTAAAAAAATTTTTGTTTTATTTATATGATATTTATCACTATATTGATTTTTATAAAACATTATTAATTTTACATGAAAACATATTCGATATTATATATATGTCAATTCTCATTGTTGTTTAAAATTAAATAATATAAGAATTATTGTTTTCAAATTCTATGAGACGATATAAAATATGTAATTAAGAAAAATTTGATATAAATATATATATATTATTATATTTCCATAAAATAATTTAATCTTATATAATCTGTAATAGATATCCTCCTTAACAAATTATAATGAAAATTTGTATATTTTAATAGATAAATCTAAGAATTATTAAATCTAAGAGTTTAAATCTAAGAGTTATTAAATAAACTTACCTGATGATATTATTATAGAAAATACAAAAAGAGTATACAAAAAATGCTGTACTGCAAGTTATTAATGAAAATAAGAACAATGGCTAAAAAATACAAAATCAATAAAATAACATTAAAAGTGTAAAAACATTAAAAAAAATATAATAAAATATTAAAATAACATTAAATAACATATTTAAATATATAATAAATATAAAAATAATAAAAATATAATTTTTTATCTAAATTTCACAAATATTTATAAAAAAGAAGAATTAATTGCAAAATATTTACTAACTTCAAAAAATTTTAATTATAATTTTTGTTATATTGTTACATTATAATTTTAATATTAATATAAGCATTCTAACAAAAATGTTTCATTATGAAATTTATATAAATAAATAAATAGTTTTATTTTTATATCTAATATTTCCCATAATTCAGTTTACAAATATTTACAAAAAAACATTTTTAAATATTTTTTTATTTAAATATTTGTTTTTGATAAAGAATAAAATGTTGAATGTAAATATGCAAAAAGATTATTATAGTATTATTTAATTTTTTTTATATAATTTTTTTTTAAATATATATTTAAAATATATATTTTAAATATATATAACCGTCTCTAATCTCTTTATATATATTTGTCTTCTGTATAATACCAAAATATAATGTCGAAAATAATAATTATCAATAATTGTTAAAATTAATAATATTATATAAAAAAATTAATAATATAATATATAAAAACAAAATATATAAAAAATAACGATA